GAACCAGGTCTCAGGTCATGACTAAACTGAACCAGGTCTCAGGTCATGACTAAACTGAACCAGGTCTCAGGTCATGACTAAACTAAAACAGGTCTCAGATCAGGACCAAACTGAACCAGGTCTCAGGTCAGGACCAAACTAAACCAGGACTCAGGTCAGGACCAAACTAAACAGGTCTCAGGTCAGGACCAGACAGAACCAGGTCTCAGGTCAGGACCAAACTAAACCAGGTCTCAGGTCAGGACCAAACTGAACCAGGTCTCAGATCAGGACCAAACTGAACCAGGTCTCAGGTCAGGACCAAACTAAACCAGGACTCAGGTCAGGACCAAACTAAACAGGTCTCAGGTCAGGACCAGACAGAACCAGGTCTCAGGTCAGGACCAAACTAAACCAGGTCTCAGGTCAGGACCAATCTAAACCAGGTCTCAGGTCAGGACCAAACTAAACCAGGTCTCAGGTCAGGACTAAACTGAAACAGGTCTCAGGTCAGGACCAAAATAACCAGGTCTCAGGTCAGGACTAAACTGAAACAGGTCTCAGGTCAGGACCAAAATAACCAGGTCTCAGGTCAGGACTAAACTGAACCAGGTCTCAGGTCAGGACCAAACTTAACCAGGACTCAGGTCAGGACCAATCTAAACCAGGTCTCAGGTCAGTACCAAACTGAACCAGGTCTCAGGTCAGGACCAATCTAAACCAGGTCTCAGGTCAGGACCAATCTAAACCAGGTCTCAGGTCAGTACCAAACTGAACCAGGTCTCAGGTCAGGACCAAACTGAACCAGGTCTCAGGTCAGGACCAGACAGAACCAGGTCTCAGGTCAGGACCAGACTAAACCAGGTCTCAGGTTTGTTAAAACCTGCTGCTCTTCTACTTCCTGTTTTATGGTTTTTACTCCTAAAGTTTTCATTCTGAGGCTGTTTGATTGTTAATATTTACTGATATTAGTGATATTTATTATTAGTTGTAGTATTTGTATTAAGTACAAGTACCGTGTGACTGCAGTAGTGGACAGATTTTTCTCAGAAACATTTTTTTTTCAGAAATGTTCTGTGCTGAAACAGATCAGGCTGGACCTCCTGAACCAGAGGAACTGGATCAACGTCCTGTTCTTTAAAAACAGTTTTTACATGAAGCGTCACTCTGCTGCTCCTCTTCCATTCTTCAAACGTTTGTGTTTTTCCACAGAACTGCAGTTAATCAGTCAGAAATGCTTCTCTAAATCATTTACAGCTCTTATCCTGAATTTAGAAATTTGACTTTTTTGAAATGAGTCAGGAAACGAAAAACTAAAAGTTTTCTGTGCTTCTGATCAAACTGGATGTTCAGGTGATCTTTGAGCTACAGGAACAGGACTGGACCTGAACCACCTGAAACTGAGTCTGACTGTTTTTTTCTCTCAGAGTGACTGAAGAGCAGAAGATGGAGGAAGTTGAGGAGAGGTTCAGTGGTCTATTCAAGTCCAAACCAGAACCCTCAGACACAACGTAAGAACATTTTCTGATTTAAAAACATCTCTTTGTGTTTTACACTTTAAAATATTTAATCAAACTGAACTGGTTTAATCAAACTGAACTGGTTTAATTAAACTGAACTGGTTTAATTAAACAGAACCAGTGGTTCTGTTCTGATGTTTTGGATCATCTCTGCTGTCCAACACAAGAAGCTGGACTCTGATCTGAGGACTGATCCAGACATGAGACCTTCTGAGTCTCTGCAGCAGTCTGTGTGTTCAGAGCTTCTGAAACGCTTTTCTTCACTGATTTATGTGAAGAACATGTTTGTGTTTCAGAGGTCAGAACCTCAGACAGAGACCAGAACCTGCAGGACCTGCTGACACTCCAGGACCCAGCTGTCTGTCCATGAAGAGTGAYTGGTCCAGAGACAATCCCCCAGACCTCAACAATGAGCCTGACCCTAAAGACAAAAGGTAAGTAAACTGTTTTTAAATTATCAAGCTGTTTTCTCATATTTTACACATTAAAATATTTGAATCAAACCAATCCTTCAGTCCAGGAGCCTCATTAATCGAAGAGTCCAGATTGATACTAAAACTCGTTGTAGTGACAAAATGTGAAACATGTGTACACACAGAAATAATGAGTTTGATCAAACTGTGCACACATGTTTCTGTGCTTCTTTCCTTCAAACATCTCAACAAACATGGAGCTGAGCTCAGGTCAGAAACGTCTTCATTTAAATATGTAAATCTTTCCTGTGTGAATGATTCTCCTCTGTATGATCTGACATCTAAAAGGAAGCTCAGATGTAGGAAAAGGTTTAGTTTTATAGAATGTGAGTCAGTGTCATGATCTGTTTATTTTCCTTAGTTTTCTAGTGTTTCAGTGTTTCCCTGTGTTTCTCTGCCCTGCAGCCCCGACCTCGCTCACCTGTCTCCTTATGTTTCCCCAGGTGTTTCCGATTCCGAGTCTTGTCTTCTGTCTTTTTGTCGGATCATTGTTCAGTCTGCCCTGACTTTGTCCTGTCTCAATGTTACTTGTTACCTGGACTTTCAAGAGAGTTTTTGTGCTGCACTGCCAGCCTTTTKATTTAAATTAAAGACCTTGTTTTCCATTTTTGAACCTGCCTGCRCCCTGGGTATTTTTGCCTGCTTAAAACGTGATATAACAATCCCACCATGTGCCCAGCCTGCAGGAAAAGGTTTTTCTGGCCTGCCTTTTTACAAGGCAGATGATTTTGTTGCCTCTCCGCCTAGACCCAACAAGAATGATTTTTTTCCTACCTGCCTCTGAGGAACTGGTCCCGTCTCTGCCGCAGTGGGAGGAAGGGTCTACGCACCCCCTGATCAGCAGATCACTGATGATCCTCTGGTGGTCCTAGACCCCTGCGGTGAAGACACTCTGCCAGCAGATCAAGGACGTTATGGCGAGGCATCCCAATCTGCTGCTCCTGCCTGGCCATCGGAGRGTCAGCGAGTMTGCTAGTGTAACCAAGAGAAAAAAAGAATAATTTCATTTTTGTTTGAATTTCACCACATCCTTTATATAACTGTTTATTTTATGTTCATAGGCAAGTTTATGGCCATTTTTGTACTAAAATTACTGTTCAATAATCATTGCACTATTGTRATTGTACTGTCTCTTTAAGAAACTGAACATGTGACTGCTGCAGCAGCTCCTCTCTCTCAGTCTGSGCCTTGCTATCTGAGAGGAGGTATGTATTGTAAGGCTCCTGCCAGTAAAATGCATTTCTATTGTAATTAAATTGTTCTCAAACATAAACCATTCTTGATGGAAAACACCACTGCTAAAATACAAATGTTAGCATGCGGTTATGTGACCTATATGTAAGTTCTTAGAAGTTATAATGAGAGTTGGAAGCACATGTGCATCTAAGCTAGCTATGATGGTCTCCATGTGTTTGCTAACAGGGACTGATGAGCTGTGTAGGAGAGACTGCATGTGACAAGGATTTGCATTTTTTTTATTATTTGTGCAGGTACGTACAATGCAATTTTTACTGTTGTATTCATCTGTGTTCTATTGTTTTGTTAAAATTATTGTAGAAAAATCCAGGTTGTATGTGTACTCTAAAGCTCAGTCTGGGCCTTGCTATCTGAGAGGAGGGACTGATGAGCTGTGTAGGAGAGACTGCATGTGACAAGGATTTGCATTTTTTTTATTATTTGTGCAGAGCCATAAATAAAGATGTATCCTGTGTTCATCTGAGTCGTGGCCCCTCTTCAATCCGCGCAGCACAAAAGAACACAACGCAGGTTAACTAAAGTTAACGGAAGTGCATCAGGTCAAGATCATACTTTTAATGGACGTGCATGCACCCGTTACACTAGGCGAGTCCAGGCTGAGCGTCTGAACGCCCACCCTTCCACCCCTTCTGTGTTTCCTGGGTCGGCTCCTGTGCTGCTTGAAATTTTGCTGCCCGAGCCGGCTGTTTTGGCAGCCGAGTCATCTGGGTCATCTGAGTCTACCGGGTTATCTAAGTCTACTGGGCCATTTGAGTCTGTTCCTGAGTTTCCTGAGTTGGTGGTCTCTGTCCCAGTTCTTGAATTGGTGGTCTCAGTTTCTGAGTTGGTAGTTCCAGTCCCAGTTCCGGAGTAGGTGGTCCCGGTGGTTCCACAATCAGTGGTCCCAGAGACGTGGTCCCGGTGGTTCCACAATCAGTGGTCCCAGAGTCGGTGGTCCCGGTGGTTCTACAGTCAGTAGACTCGGTGGTCCCGGTGGTTTCACAGTCAGTGGTCCCAGTGCCTCCTGAGATGGCGGTCCCAGTGTCTCCTGAGTTAGCGAGGCCCGAGTCGGCGGTCCTTGAGGTTCGTGGGTCGGCTTCCGGCAACTTCACGACATCTGGGTCATCATCCGTCGCCTCCATATTGCCTGGGTCGGCTGCCGTCGCCTCATCGCCTGGGTTGTCGCCCGTCACCTCCTCGTCGCCTTGGTCGTCGCCCATCACCTCCTCATCGCCTGGGTCAGCTGTCGTCACCTCCTCATTGCCTGGGTCATCGCCCGTCGCCTCTTCATCGCATGTGTTCGCCGTCATTGACACTCTGCCTCCGTCAACCTCTGCCGGCTCATCGTCTTCTCCCTTCTCCTCCCTTGGCTCTTCGTCTGCTCCCGTCTTCTCCCTTAACTGCACATCTGCTCTCGCCTCCTCTCTTGGCTCCACGTCTGCTCCCGCCTCTTCCCTTGGCTCAACGTCTGCTCCTGACTCCTCCTGTGGCTCTACGTCTGTTGCTGTTCCTGCTGGGCCTTGCTTTGGATGGTCTCCTGGCTGTCCTCAGGATCTTCTGCTCTGTGTGGGGTGGTCTCCTGGCCACCCCCGTGAACTCAGTATGTTTTGTCCTTGAGTCTGTGTTGTCATGTGCTTTCCTGAGTCTCATCCATCTCCTCTTTTCGACATTGGGAGCCGTCGTTGAGGGGATGATCCTGTCATAATCTGTGTTTATTTTCCTTAGTTTTCTCTTGTTTCAGTGTTTCCCTGTCTTTGTCTGCCCTGAAGCCCCACCCTCGCTCAACTGTCTCCTCTTGTGTTTCCCCAGGTGTTTCCCACTGTCCCTTAATTTGTTTGCTTTATATTCTGAGTCTTGTCTTCTGTCTTCTTCGGATCATTGTTCAGTCTGCCCTGACTTTGTCCTGTCTCCATGTTACTTTCAAGAGAGTTTTTGTGCTGCACTGCCAGCCTTTTGAGTTTGACTAAAGACCTTGTTTWCCATTTTTGAACCTGCCTGCGCCCTAGGTATTTTTGCCTGCCTAAAACCTGATAGTCAGAGACACTCATAAATCAGTAGTGTGGAGGACAAGCATTTGTCTCTCTGTTCTCTGGTATTTGTGTTGTGAACAAAGAGGAGTGACTGTGTGTGAAGCTGCTGCTGTCAGCGCACAGCTCACCTGCACAGGTAATGAAGAGGTAAACAATCAGACATAAAGCTCGGAGTAAAGAGAGGGACCACCACCTCTGATGCAGTAATGTTAGACACCACTTCCTGTACATAAATTACACATTTTATTGTAAATGAATAAAGTGAAGCAGGGAACAGATCTACAGGTGCAGCACTTTACAACTTTACTTGTTTAATAACAACATTACTGTAAACACAGAGAAGGGGGTATCTGCAGTCACTAAGTGGGAGTTTCTTGTTGTGTGGGAGGAGTTTGTTAAAGAYGTGATTGGTCAGATTGACTATTTAGGTTGGGCTTTGAAGAAGCCATAACCATTCAGTTGGATGAAAGCTGGGCAGCTGGGGGGACGTCACATTTGGCGTGGTTGAATTGGCCAGAAAGCACATCCATCTCTTACCTTTCACTTTATCTGAAGTCAGGTCACAGGGTTCAGCAGCTTGAGCAGAGAAGTCCAGACCTCTCTTCTCTCAGTCTCCTCTTCCAGGTCTTCTGGGAGGACTTCAAGGTGTTCCCCAGGACAGCTGAGAGACCTAGTCTCTCCAATATGTCCTGGGTCTTCCTCAAGGTCTTCTCCTAATGTGACATGCCTGAAGCGCATCCCTAGGGACCCAGATAATAAAGAATTACAATAGTCCATCCTAGACATGATAAATGCATGGATCAGTTTTTCTGCATCATTTTTGCACAATATGTTTCTAATTTTAGTGTTCTCTGGTAGTTCAGGGCTTTTAACAGCAGTTTTCTCATCCTGGAGTCAGAGTGAAGCAGCAGCCAGAGATGTTAGAACTGATCTGATCAACACTTCCTGTTCTTCCAGTTCTTCATCAGGACAAAGATCCAGAAGCAGAAGTGGACTACAGACAGACAGTCAGGGCAGCTGTGTCCAAGGTAAGACATTTCTGTCCACCTGTTGTTTTAATACAGACACATTGTTGAAGAGTTCAGATCATTAGAAACRTCCTTCAGATTGAAGCTCCAATCAAAATGTTGGAGTTTCTGCTGCAGAACTCACATCTKCTCTRTGTCCCATTTTCCCTCAGATGTTGGTCTGCAGGAGVTTTTAGATGAACATCAGATCAGTCTGAGGAGGAGATGTGAAAGTTTGACTGAAGRTGATGAAASAGGAAGTAGAACCCTCCTCAACAGGATCTACACTGAGCTCTACATCACWGAGGGACAGAGTGAAGAGGTTAATACYCAACATGAGATCAGGCAGCTGGAGACCGCTTCCAAGACCCACATCCTCCATGAGACTCCAATCAGGTGTCAGGACATCTTTAAAGCCTTGCCTGATCAACATGGAGCCATCAGAGTGGTTCTCACCAACGGCGTGGCTGGAGCTGGAAAAACCTTCTCAGTGCTGAAGTTCACTCTGGACTGGGCCGAGGGCTTGGAGAACCAAGATGTCAGTGTGCTGGTTCTGCTTTCRTTCAGGGAGCTGAACCTGATCGGAGATGAGCAGTACAGTCTTCTCAGGCTGCTCCATGTTTTCCATCCAACACTCCAGAAGCTCCCAGCAGAGAAGCTGGCTGTCTGTAAACTTCTCTTCATCTTTGACGGCCTGGATGAAAGCAGACTTCAGCTGGATTTCACCAACAGTCAGCTGCTTTCTGATGTCACACAGGAGGCATCGCTCAACGTGCTGCTGACAAACCTCATCAAGGGGAACCTGCTTCCCTCGGCTCTGGTCTGGATCACTTCCAGACCTGCAGCGGCCAATCAGATCCCTCCTTCATGTGTGGACAGGCTAACAGAAGTACGAGGCTTCACTGACACCCAGAAGTACGAGTACTTCAGGAGGAGGTTCAGTCATGAAGATATGTCCAACATAATCATCTCCCACATCAAGACCTCCAGGAGCCTCCACATCATGTGTGCAGTCCCAGTCTTCTGCTGGATCACTGCTACAGTTCTGGACCACATGTTGACCACAGAG